TCAGTTCTTTACACAGATACCCTTTTGTTACCATTACCTTTGATGTCACATACCCTTTTGTTACCAGTTACCTTTGATGTCACACCTGTGTGTTCTCGCGAAATCTGCAATACCTACGTTGCCTCCTTGATGAAGTGTAGTTTCGGTAGATGAAAGGTGTAGTTCGCTGCGGACGGTTGGGCGTGTCAGGCGGGTTAAGCTTGGCGCTGTGCCGAACCCGTTCTCCGCCAGTTTTTAAAGCAAGTGAGCGATAAGACTGTATCATTCATATCAAATGTTTTCTACCACTGGTTGTCGCATGCGCGCTTCAACAAGAAGGCAGAGAACGGCTTTGACGGCGTGACACACTCATACTGCCTGACACGCCCAACCGTCCGCAGCGAACTAGAGTATACACACAGTATTGAGGGCTTATCAAGATGTGGAATTTTCGTGAGGGTGGAAGCTGTCGGGTGTGTGGTGATTCTATCGTCGGGTCGTCGCGCCGGTGGGCGGAGCGAGGCGGCGTGGCGGCCGCCGCGTACGAGTTTTGTTGCGTGGCGTTCAAATTGTTAAAGGGTCGACGATCCCTTTAACAATTTGAAAGAGGCACAGCTTGCTGTGCTCCAATGACAACTCGGGAGTACGGTAATGCAACTCCGGGATTGCCGCGTCGCGGCGTGCCGCGCAGCGGCGTCGCCTGACTTGCCGACGATAGAATCGCCCGGGTGCCGAAGCTGTCTTATGAAAAATCAGAGCATCAACAGTGGTCATCACCTTGTTCCACACCATTCTTGTCTGCTTTTCTTTGCCATCCTTGAAAGGAATCTGGAGTTTTGTTACCACTGGAGCTTTTTCAGAGACATTGTTGCATCTTCTGATTTGTGTGCAGCCTTCTGCTGCCCGCTTAGAGGAAGTTCAGGGTTGTCCCCGTCTCACCATCGCACTGTTGCTGTCGTTTAGAACAGATTGTTGTTGCGCACTACAGACAATACGCGATATTATCAACAGTCTCTTGAGCGTGCACAATACAGTGCGTAACAAAAGTATGTGGACACCTCAAATTTTTGTCCTGCAAAATTGCCTTTGAATTTTGCGATATGAGACCTTTATTGTTGAATTCCTCATAAGCGAAAACATAGGAATACACTACTTCTGAGCACTTTGTGAACTACTGTACAATTATTTATTGTTTTGAAAAGTTTCTTAACACGTTCGCGGCGGCGTGTACTCCCGGGAGTACACGAAAAAACTCCGCTTTCGGCGAATCGTGTACTCCCGGGAGTACACGCGCCTATTCGCTGGTTTTTTGTATTTTATTTTCTTTTTCCACTAACAATTGGATATAAATAATAATCAAACAATAGAGAAATAATATCCACACATTAGAAGAGGCGTGTATACCTGAAAAATACTCAAAAACTTTCCTTTTTAGGCGAATCGTGCATTCTTGGGAGTACACGCGCCTATTCGCTGGTTTTTTGTATTTTATTTCTTTTTCCACTAACAATTGGATATAAATAATAATCAAAGAATAGAGAAATAATATCCAAACATTAGAAGAGGCGTGTATACCTGAAAAATACTCAAAAACTTCCTTTTTAGGCGAATCGTGCATTCTTGGGAGTACACGCGCTTCTTCCCTCGCTTTTGTTGTTTTTTTTTCTTCTTTTCACTGG